AAGGATCACTCTAAATCATGGGTTGTTGATTTTGATGCACAGAATGGTAACATTCAATGCTCCTGCAGAAAGTTTAGAACGATGGGTTTATTATGTTCTCATTGCATAATAGTTTTGAGGCAAATGGCTATTGGAAAATTCCCCGAGAAGTACCTATTGTTGTGATGGTCAGCACGAGCTCGACATGATATATATTCTGGTCTAAATTTGAAAGAAAATTCTTATAATAGCTCTGAAGCTAGTAGTGGATTCATATTCAAAAATTACATTACCAGGTTTACATATGAAATAAGCACACAAGCGCAGCTGAATGAGGGTGGTGAAGAATTCCTATTGGTTGCGATGAAGGATACATCTGAAAAATTCGATTTGGTTGTTTTTGGGAAGAGAAAGACATACAAGTCTACATATGGTGGCAGTGTACAACTGAAAGACCCTCTAAAGCGTAGGCCTAAAGGCATATCCATTGCGAGGCTGAAAAGCCACTAGGAAAAGAAGACAAAGAATATGATTTTAATTTCTGACTATTTTAATTTATTGCCTATTATGACATATTGTTATTAATTTTGTTAACAGGGAAACCACCAGTGAAGAAATACACTACAAAATTTGAGACTCCTTCAAGCATGTCCGAATGTATGCCCGAATACTTAACGGATGATTTCATAAATTCTGTACACTCCAAGCAACCATCAGCTCAGCAGTGTAATTTCACAAGCATGTCCGAATGCTTCACTGAGGACTTCATAAATGCTGTACATTCCAGTCAGCCATCTCCAGCTAAGCAGTACAATTTCACAAGCATGCCTGAATGGTTAACGGAGGACTTCATATCACAAGCATGTCTGTCTAGTCAGGCATCAGTACAGCAGTTCACAAGCATGCTTGAGTGCTTGACAGACGATTTCATAGCCGGGGAACTGTCCAGTCAGCCATCAGCAAAGCGAGCAAAGCAATCTAATTTCACACGCATACCCAAATGCTTCATAATGGAACACATAAAAGGTGTATGTTCAAAAAAGCCATCAGCAACATACCTGAAGTTGATGATGGATATCATTAAATCAGAAAATTCTATGTTATAAGAATATATTGTATGATGGATATTTGAATGATGGATATTTGTAAGAATATTTGTTGATAAGATGTTTATTTAATAAAGAGTATTTATTTTAGCTGTTAATTTTCATTTGTGTATGGTCTGCATATACAAAGCGTAAACAGCGCGTATACAAAGCGCAAACAGATCGTATTTTCTATATTTCTAAAAAATGCAATCTATTTTCCATTATTATGAATTTTTTTTATAATCATTTTCCAACACACTCTAGAACCATCACTTGTGTAGCATAAGGGTGTTCTCAAACCCGAAGTCTCATTATGAGATTTTTTCTAATCATTTTACAACGTTGATAAAATGAGTATTTGAATGATTCAAATCGAAGGAATGCATCGAATCAATTAAATTTGAATTAATTAATTTTTTTTGGGAAAAAACCAAGAATTGCCATTTGCGTATGCCATGAGCATGAAATGCGTCTACAACGCGTACGCTATATGTATAACGTGCGTACTTTATTTATCCACATGGAATCCTTCTTAATCGAGTGGAATGAGGTTTCAATGATGAGAAACCCTATATCCAATGCTCCATGATTGTTTATTGACGAGGCGAAGCATTCTAAAAAACTTTGATTCTCCATGTGATCTAATGAGTCCTCAACCATTAAAGCATAACACCCACACTCTAGAACCATCACTTGTGTAGCATAAGGGTCTTCTCAAACCCAAAGTCTCATTGTGAGATTTTTTATAATCATTTTACAACGATTGTAAAATGAGTATTTGAATGATTCAAACCGAAGGAATGCATCGAATCAATTAAATTTGAATTAATTAAATTTTTTTGGGAAAAAACCAAAAACTGCCATTTGCGTATTAATTGCATATGAGATGCGTCTACAAGGTGTATTACATGCTTATATCGTGCGTACTTTATTTACCCACATGAAAACCTTTTATATATTTTATGCACAGATAATTTACATATATCAGTTATTTACACAAACATAAAATATAAAAAGTTCATTTCAGCGAAGCACAAAACTATGCGTAGGCAAATTCTGCCCTATACATTGGCATTTTTTCCTGCCAATCTTTACTCTCTCTCCAATTTGAGTTCTTTTGTCGAATAATGTTTTCCATGTATTTGCAAAAAAATATTATACAATCTGTATTGTTGGACTGAGTTGGTGCATTCTTCATTGTCTTGAAACTCCATTTTTTAATATTATCATCATTTTTGCAATCCCTATATAAGCTTGTAATCTGAACAATATATGGAATAGAATTTAGTTCACTGAAAAATAATTTCGAAATTTTCCAGCAATATAAGCTTACAATCAAACTCACAATCTTTATAGCAACACTTCTATGCATAGGGTTGGGTACAGAATCGTAAAATTCCCACTTTTTCTGATCTCGGTAACCAACCAGAAACGTCTAGTGTGAACTATCAATAATTGGATTAATTATAAAGTTGCATGAATGAACAGAACTGTAGTTTACGTGTTCGATGAACAATTTTGAACTTTCATCCTTCACCTTGTAATACTACAAGAATTAGATATAAGAATAAAATAGTTGAAATCTTTAATTATATATCAAATAAACTAGTATACTAACCCAATACAATGGTGAGATGTATAAAAATTTATGATACAGTTCTGGTGAAATTTTAGACTTCTCAGTTAATAAAATAGCAAAGGAATCAAT